ATCCCCACTCAGGGGTTAGAAGTGGGGTTTTGTCAGCCTCTGCAGCCTGTTCCAGGATGACTCCTCTCTCTAATTCACTAGGCTAACCTACTTCTCAATATCCAAATAAACTTGGTTTTTCAAGACAATGCTGAGCACAGTGCAGAATCAAAGCAAGAGGTCAGTCATCAGTGTGTCCTGCTTTTACTTGGTGTTGATTTCTTCTTCAAATGACAAAGTCAAAGTACAAAGTGAAAGTCTGAATTTTGCAATGATAACTTACCGTTTGATTGGTTTCATAGTCACAGATTACACAAGTAATCTCGTCTGCCTGCTCACCAGTGAACTCCAACCCTGGGTACATGGGGGTCTGAGTGGGAATACCTCATGCTCTGTCTCTAGGTGTCCACCTCCATATGACTAGGAGTGTTGATACTTAAAATTATCCCCATAATTGAAGTAGCATTTCTTTTCTTTTTTTCTGGGACAGTTTCGCTTTTGTCGCCCAGGCTGGAGTGCAGTGGTGCAATATTGCCTCACTGCAGACACCACCTCCTGGGTTCAAGCGATTCTCATACCTCAGCTTCCAAGTAGCTGGGATTACTGGTGCCTACCATGCCCAGCTAATTTCTGTATTTTTAGTAGAGACAGGGTTTCACCATGTTGACCATGGATGGTTGTGAACTCCTGACCTCAGGTGATCCACCCACCTTGGCCTCCCAAAGTGTGCCTGGCCTGAAGTAGCATTTATTTTCAAAGTGCAAGGAGGAGTGTATGGAAAATACACTTATAAGAAATTTGATTTAAAAATTCTAATTTATCATTATGTTCCCCATCATCTAAAGCGATCGTGTCCCCAGAGTACCCCCAATTGACCAACCCTTTATCCCTGATTGGGGCTCTGAAGAAGTTCCCCTTATACTCATTTGATTTGGTTTAATTTTTATGTATGTGGTTTATTACTTAAAATGTCTGCCAAAAATGCTTTTTATATAAAAACTGGTATTGTTTTTAAAAAGTATGCAGCATTTTATACAGTTACCTTACTTTTTTTCTTTTACAATTCAGGTATACCACTTTGAGTAGTTTTTCAGATATTTACTGTATCTGAAAACAATAATTTACTTAATTATAGTAACTCGAGGAAATAAAACTTTAAGATTAGTTTTCAATTCAACTGGTTAACCATGAACATTTGGGGAACAAATGTTTTGCCATGCCGAATGAGGAAAACAATAATTATTTAAAACAGATGGTTTGATGGAATTCAAGTAATAATTTACATATTCAGAGTCAAATCACATAATTGTTTCAACAATCATGTATTTTCATGAATTTCAGTATATTCTTTATAGCTATCTAAGCCCTAAAACCAAATAACACGTTTCAGACAATGAAACAAGATTTTTAAAGTTATTCACCTTCACCTTTAATTCAGTAATCCAACAAGATTTTAAACCATCAAGAATGGGTATGGTTAGAGAGCCACAGATTGCGAAGAGGATGAAATATGTGCTTAGTACATCGCTAGATAATTCATTAAGGTAGAATGCTTGAGCCCAGGAGTTCCAGGTTACAGTGAGCTATGATCACACCGCTGCACTCTAGCCTGGGTGACAGAGCAACAACCCGTCTCTAAAAAGGAAAAAGAATGATATAACTAACCCTCACTTGTAAGTACCAGTTTGAAACAATGTCCATGATAAACTGTTAAATTAAAAAAGCAGTGTGCTGAAGAATGGGTAGAGCAGGACATCATTGCATTTAAAAATTATATGTGCATGCTATCTACAGAAGATAATATGCATGTATATGTATAGACTATCTTTGAAGGAATATTTCTAACTCTGGTTGCAGCTTGGTGATTAGGGCACAGGAGTGGGAAGGGCACTTCATTTTTCCTATACACCCCCTTTAACCACTTGAATTGTGTTCAGGTGCATACATTACCTGTTAAACATTTCTTTTTCTTTTGAGACAGAGTCTCAGTTTGTTGCCCAGGCTGGAGTGCAATGGTGCAATCTTGGCTTGCTGCAACCTCCACCTCCTGGCTTCAAGCAATCCTCATGCCTCAGCCTCCCGAGTAGCTGGGACTACACGCGTGCATCACCCCGCCTGGCTAATTTTATGTATTTTTAATAGACATGGGGTTTCACTGTGTTGGCCAGGCTGGTTTCAAATTCCTGACCTCAGGTGATCTGCCCACCTCATTCTCCCAATGTGCTGGGATTACAGGCGTGAGCCACTGCAGCCAGCCTAGAGTATTAAATTGTAAGAAACATTTATTGTGCAATTCATAGGCAATGCCACGTACTATTTTAGGCACAGGAGAGTCACGGAAAAATTACTCATATTTGTTTCTTTCAGAGATGTCATAATTATACCAAGAATGGAGTCCCGTAAATGATTTAGGGTTACTATTTGAATTTTAGGAAAGCTAGCAAAATGTGTAGCAGGTAGGGGCTCATAGATACAGGTTCACTAAAACTCTGCCACTTAATATTTGTGATTTTAGGCCAATTAATTAATCAAGCTCCAGTTACTTCCTGTGAATTTGAACTATAGTAATACTACTTGAGAACATGGTTTTGATAATTAAAAGCTACAGAATGCATATAGATTACTTAGTACAGTGCTTGCCGTGAAATATAGCACAACTGTTACCTATTCTTATAAATTAGTGCTCTTTGCTTGTAAGTTTTCCTTTCAAATCCTGGGGCAAAATCACCTAAAACTCAAAGTGCAAGAATCAATACTATCTTAGCAGTAGCAGTTTGAGACAGAAAGCGAAAGCAGAATGAGAGGGGAGTGATTGGTGATCACTGAGCTGGGCCTTGGAGAGCACATGCAATTCCAGCAGGTAGAGAAAGGAGGAGGGTGTATTGGCCAGATGGGGCAAAGGCAGGGAGAGGATGCAGATGCTGTTTCGGGGGTGGAGGGAGCAGCTGGTTCGACTGCAGTGCGTGCGAGGAGTCTGTGTGGAAGGAAGGAATATTGCTGGGACACGAGGGCACCAGGTGAGCGGTGCTTGTTCCTGGGAGTTCTTGCAGGCCGTGCTTGAAAGTCAGGATTTATCTTCCAGGGTTAAAGGTGGACACCAGATGGCAGAAGCCTGAAGAGAGGCTACGGGGGAGGAAGTGGGAATAGGAATAACGAAGACAGAGACGGTAGCTGTACTTGAGAGGGGCCATAAGGTCAAGGGGAAGTTAAAGACACCAGGTGGAGGTAGAGAGTCTGAAATGGATGGAACAAATTGAGACAGCAGACGACAAAACCAAGGGTGGGGGACTAGCTTCGTTAAGGCACACAGTTCCTTCTTCTGAGACAGACAAGGAGAGAGATGGTGAGGATACAGATGAGGTGGGTTGCGGAAGGAAGGAAGGTTGAGGGGCTTCATACTTACTGGCTTCTAGTTCTTGACATTTGGAATGAAATGATCTGCGGAGAGTGTGTGCACCTGGAGTGGGATTTTAGGGGTTAGCATGAGAGGTGAGAATGTGGACTCTCCACTGTGGGAAATGGGAAAAAGAATCCACCTGGGAGCAGTGGAGGGCTGGCTGAGCAAGCAGTACTGAGGTTCAGCCCCTGGCTGGATGCCGAAAGTCGGCCTCAGGTGAAGGCTGCTCGTGGGGCCCAGTGGTTCTCTCTAACAGCAGCTGGGACCCTGGAAGCAAAAAGAGAGGCAAAGGTGATGAGATCGATCTACCCAGTTGCAAAGCCTGCAGGAATCGAGGGTGCTGGTGAGAGTGCATCGAATTCAGTGGGCGATAGAGGAAGAAGTGAAACCTGGGAAAAGTTGCTTGTGTCAGTCTTGAGAGAAAAGGGTAGGGTCAGGCGCTCGGTGGGGGCCAAGGATCAGAAAGCAGGAGCATGAGAATGGGAGAGGAAAGATGATGGAACACAGTATCTTGGGCTGCAGGTACAGCACTTCAGAGCTCAAGATTTTTTTTAAATTATACTTTAAGTTCTGGGATACATGTGTAGAATGTGAAGGTTTGTTACGTAGCTATACGCCTGCCATGGGGTTGGCTGCACCCATCAACGTGTCATCTACATTAGGTATTTATCCTAGTGCTATCCCTCCGCTACCCTCTGACCCCCAGACAGGCCCTGGTGTGTGATGTTCCCCTCCCTGTGTGCATGTGTTCTCATTGTTCAGCTCCCACTTATGAGTGAGAACATGCACTGTTTGGTTTTCTGTTCTTGTGTTAGTTTGCTGAGAATGATGGTTTCCAGCTTTATCCATGTCCCTGCAAAGGACATGAACTCATCCTTTTTTATGGCTGCATAGTATTCCATAGAGTATATGTGCCACATTTTCTTTATCCAGTCTATCATTGATGGGCATTTGGGTTGGTTCCAAGTCTTTGCTATTGCGAATAGTGCTGCAGTAAACATATGTGTGCATGTGTCTTTATAGTAGAATGATATATAATTTTTTTGGTATATACCCAATAATGGAATTGCTGGGTCAAAATGGGTATTTCTGGTTCTAGATCCTTGAGAAATCACCACACTGTTTTCCGTAATGGTTGAACTGATTTACACTCCCACCAACAGTGTAAAAGCATTGGTTTCTCCATATCCTCTCCAGAATCTGTTGTTTCCTGACTTTTTAATGATCACCATTCTGACTGGCATGAGATGGTATCTCATTGTGGTGCTCAAGATGTTATAGGATTATTGTTGTTTTTCAGAGAGCACTGTTTAAAAATTGCCTTAATGTTTTTGTAATAGTCCATGATTTCTGGTTTTTTGTTTGTTTGTTTTTGGCACAGATCACGAGCAGTGTGCCTAGGGCTTAAGGGAAAATTTTCTTTGTTTTCCCGAGAGCTTTGTTAAGGGCTTATAATATTGCTAAAGGGTGAGCTCAGAGTTTATATAAATGGGGAAAAAAGCAAGGTTTTAACAAAGGCGTAGCCAGTCTCAGGCAGTTCCTTAGAAACCTGTAGATTTTCCTTATAGGAAAAGAAAGCTAATATAAGCTTAGTGATTTACATTTTTTCCCTTTGCTTTTAAAGGTAAAACCAGTAATCCACAGCAGGATCAATGTGTCAGCTCGCTTTAGAAAACCACTTCAGGAGCCCTGCACTATCTTGTAAGTTGAAACCCTTTATACTTCAGGTTAAAATTGGCTTGGTGGTTTCCTTTTGGCTGGGAATTTGTATTGCAGTTTTCAAGGCGTAACCGTTTCAAATGGTTTGCCTCCTGTTTTGCAGCTTGATTGCAAATGGAGACCTGATAAACCCAGCTGCTCGCCTCCTTATCCCCAGGAAAGCCTTGAATCAGTGGGATCATATACTACAAATGGTCACAGAAAAAATCACTCTGAGGAACGGTGCTGTTCACAGGTGCGTCAGAACAGTCTTATAAATGGAGGAGTTTTGGTAGATAACCGCACGATTTTATTCTTTGGAAGATGTTGTTGAAGATATTCTCAGTTGGCTCTGGGGTCCCTGGTCTGTAGATTTGAATTTTGGCTCCCCAGTTAGGCTCTGTATGCCTCAGTTTCTTTATCTGTAGAATGGAAATACAGTAGTACTTACCTCATAGGGTTAAGGAATGAGGTGATTGACATGCAGAGCTTAAAACAGTCATTGTCACATAGTAGCACATCCACAAATATGAACGATGTTTATTTTTTGATTTAGAGTAAATTGGCAAGCATCAACATTACTTTAGTTGAGAAGGATTATTTAAAAGAGCCAGCCTCTTAACTCTTAATTGTCCTTTTATTTAAAAGGAGGTATTTATAATTATTTGATAGTTTATTTGCCTATTAGTGGGTTTAAAGAGGAGCCATAGAAATAATTTATTGGAGTTATATAAATGTAAGAAATCAAAAGCGTTTTTCTCAGGTTCTGAAATTTAAGTAGGATTAAAATCATAGCTTTAAATTGTGAAGCCTATGAAAGTATCCCCTGATGGAGGCTGACATTTATTTTCCCTCAGGTAGGAGCGTTACAAATAATATACACATGTGCACAACATATTGTAAGTAGGTATGTGTATATACTGCTTTGGTGGAGTACATTCTTTCAAGTTTTTATGTTTTTATGCACACACAAGATAAAATAGTTCTCAAATGATTGAATACTATTTCTTTCAGGTAAATGTGTATACAGTTTAATGTTTGTATATTTACATATATTAATATCGACAGTCTCATAGCCATGGAGATTTTAAATATAGTTAGGTGTTTTAATTAAAAGGATTGCTTGACATGTGGCAAACTTTTCAAATATGGTATAAATAAAAAGTATTTCTCCCACCTCAAGCATGCCTAGTTCCTCTCTCTAGTACTTTTCAGCATCATCTCAGAAATATTCTATGCATATGCAAACGAATACATTTTTTTTTTTTGAGGCGGAGTTTCGCTTTTGTTACCCAGGCTGGAGTGCAATGGCACGATCTCAGCTCACCACAACCTCCGCCTCCTGGGTTCAGGCAATTCTCCTGCCTCAGCCTCCTGAGTAGCTGGGATTATAGGCACGCGCCACCATGCCCAGCTAATTTTTTATATTTTTAGTAGAGATGGGGTTTCACCATGTTGACCAGGATGGTCTCGATCTCTTGACCTCGTGATCCACCCGCCTCGGCCTCCCAAAGTGCTGGGATTACAGGCTTGAGCCACCACGCCCGGCCATTTTTAATTTTTTACTGTTTTATTTATTATTTTTTTGAGACGGGGTCTCACTGTGTCACCCAGGCTGGAGTGCAATGGTGTGATCTCAGCTCACAGCAGCCTCGATTGCCTAGACTTACGTGATCCTCTCACTTCAGCCTTGCAAGTAGCGTGCACCACCACACCTAGCTTTTTTTTTTTTTTTTTTTGTAGAGATGAGATTTCACCATATTGCCCAAGCTGGTCTTGAACTCCTGGGGCCAAGCAATCTGCCCGCCTTGGCCTCCCAAAGTGCTGGGATGACAGGCACGAGCCACTGTGCCTGGCCCAGTTTTTAAAAACATAAATGGAAATACATATATACATATGAATAAATAAATACATGTATACAAACACCCCTTTGATTTTTTCCTATAATAATAAGTCTTAGCAACTATTCTTAGCAGCACAGATACCTCTATTTTATTATTTTTAATGACTGCAAAGTATTCTGTTTATTTTTATTTATTTATGTTTTAGAGATGGAGTTTTGCTCTTGTTGCCCACGCTGGAGTGCAGTGATGTGATCCTGGCTCACTGCAACCTCCACCTCCTGGGTTTAAGTGATTCTCCTGCCTCAGCCTCCCAAGTAGCTGGGATTACAGGCGCCTGCCACCATGCCCGTCTAATTTTTAAACATTTTTTTTAGTAGAGATGGGATTTCCCCATGTTGGCCAGGCTGGTTTTGAACTCCTGACCTCAAGTGATCCACTCATGTTGGCCTCCCAAAGTGCTAGGATTATCTGTGTGAGCCACTGCGCCCTACCTAAAGTATTCTGTTTTAACACAAAGTATTCCAAATTGTAATTTTTTTATTAAAAAATTTTTAGTTGGGCAACATCTCATTCAGTAAAATAGAATGAGTGTTTCCAATCTAATTTATTTGATCAGTTACCTCTTTTTCATAATTTCATTTTAGATTCTGGGAATGTATGTGCAGGTTTGTTACATGGGTATATTGCATGATGCTGAGGTTTCGGGTATAGATCTCGTCACCCAGGTAGTAAGCATAGTATCCAATAAGTAGTTTTTCAATCCACACCGCTCTATTTCCCTCCCTCCCCTCTCTAGTAGTCAACAGTGTCTACTGTTGCTGTCTTTGTGGCTGTCTGTACCCAGTATTTAAGCTCCCACTTACCAGTGAGAATACGTAGTATTTGGTTTTCTGTTCCTGCATTAATTCACTCAGGATTATGACCTCCAGCTGCATCCATGTTGCTGCAAAGAACAGGATTTCGTGATTTTTTTTTTTTTTTAATGGCTGCATGGTATTCCATGGTGTATGGGTACCACATTTTCTTTATCCAGTCCACCATTGATGGGCAGCTAGACTGATTCCACATCTTTGCCATCATGAATAGCACTGCGGTGAACATACCAGTGCATGCTTCTTTTTGGTAGAATGATTTATTTTCCTTTGGGTTGGATGGATATTTAGGTCATGCTAATCTTTTGCTATTACATGCATATGTCTTTTTGTATAAGCAAAGTTTATCAGGATATAATAGTCTAGAAGTTGAATTGTTGAATTAAGTTTCAAATGTCCTTAAAATTTTGATAGATACTGCCAATTGTCTTCCAAAGAGTTTATCCTGATTTATATTTTCACCAGAAGTCTATGAGCAGGCCTATTTGTCAGTTACCTGTCTAGTAAAACTAACATTTAGTCTTTTCACTCATGTTGAGTAAAAACAGCCTTTCATTGTTTTTGATTTTTATTTATTTAATATACAACAACATCTGTTGACTCTTTTTTTTTAAAGTTCTTTTTTTTAATTGTACTTTAGATTCTGGGGTACATGTGCAGATCATGTCAGATTGTTGAATACGTACATTCACGGCAAGGTGGTTTGTTACCACCATCCCCCCATCACCTATACCTGAAATTTCTCCCCACGTTATCCCTCCCCCACCCTCTATCTCACTATCTCTCCCATAGCCCCCACAATGGACGCCAGTGTGTGATGCTCCCCTCCCTGTGTCCATGCGTTCTCATTGTTCAACACCTGCCTATGAGTGAGAACATGTGGTGTTTGATTTTCTGTTCTTGTGTCAGTTTGCTGAGAATGATGGTTTCCAGATTCATCCATGTCCCTACAAAGGACACAAACTCATTCTTGTGTGTCAGACACTATTCTCAGTGCTTTACATTTTTGACTTAATTAACTCAGCAACTCTATGAGGTAAGTAGTGCTTCGATCCTCTTTTAATAGGCATGAGATGGGAGACACGTAGTGGGAAATGATTTGCCTAGGGTGATGCCGATGCTGAGTAGCAGGGCTGGGATTCAAGCCTAGCAGGCTTTCTGGCTCCAGAGCCTGTGTTCTTAATGACCAAGGTACTCTGTAAATAAATGCCACATATTTATATCCGTTGTGTCTGAAGTGTCTGTCATGGCCTTTGCACATTTATCTTATTGATTTATAGGCCCTCTCCAGGGGTCCCCAACCCCCAGGCCATGGACTGGTACTGTTCCATGGCTTGTTAGGAACCAACTGCCCAGCAGGAGGTGAGCAGCAGGAGCCATTGTTGCCTGAGATCCACCCACTGTCAGATCAGCAGCAGCATCAGATTCTCCTCGGAGCACAAAGCCTATTGTGAACTGTGCATGCAAGGTATCTAGGTTGTGTGCTCCTTATGAGAATCTTTAATTCCTGATGATCTGAGATGTAACACTTTCATTTCATAACTATTTCGTCCCCCATTCCGTCCATGGAGAAATTATCTTCCACAAAGCCAGTTCCTGGTGCCAGAAAGGTTGGGGACCACTGCCATAGACATATTGGGGAAATTGACCTTTTCTGATGTGAGTTTTAAGTACACTTCCAGTTTGCATTTTATTTATATTTCTTTTTTCTTTTTGAGGCAGAGTCTCGCTCTGTCGCCAGGCTGGAGTGCAGCAGTGCAGTCTCAGCTCACTGCAAACCTCCACCTCCTGGGCTCAAGCAATTGTCCTGCCTCAGCCTCCCGAGTAGCTGGGACTACAGGCATGCGACACCGTGCCCAGCTAATTTTTGTGTTTTTAGTATAGATGGGGTTTCGCTTTGTTGGCCAGGATGGTCTTGATCTCTTGACCTTGTGATCTGCCTAGCTCAGCCCAAAGTGCCGGGGTTACAGGTGTGAGCCACGTTGCCCGGCCTACATTTCTTTTTTTATGCAAATATCGTAAATTTTAATGCAATCTAATTTTCAATCTTTTTTTTATAATTACTATGTTTTGGCCGGGCACGGTGGCTCAAGCCTGTAATCCCAGCACTTTGGGAGGCCGAGGCGGGTGGATCACGAGGTCGAGAGATCGAGACCATCCTGGTCAACATGGTGAAACCCCGTCTCTACTAAAAATACAAAAAAAAATTAGCTGGGCATGGTGGCACGTGCCTGTAATCCCAGCTACTCAGGAGGCTGAGGCAGGAGAATTGCCTGAACCCAGGAGGCGGAGGTTGCGGTGAGCCGAGATCGCGCCATTGCACTCCAGCCTGGGTAACAAGAGCGAAACTCCGTCTCAAAAAAAAAAAAAAAAAAAAATAATAATAATTACTATGTTTTACAACTTGCTTAGATCTTCCTTACTCCAAGATTATAGGAATATTCTCCTGTTTTCTCCTTATATTTTAAAATTTTATTTAAACCTTTGATTTTGCTGGATTTTATTTTGGTATCAGAAGTGAAGGCAGATCTCAATAATTA